GAGAATTACTCCTAAATTACTTGATTCTGAATCCTTTTTACTCCTAGATCAGAGCATAAATTTACCTCTGTGTCACCTTCACAGACCCATGCACATGGTCTGTGAAAAGAGAGAATAAACTTTGATGCTACATTTTAGAAGAACGGGCTGAAAATATTTTAGATACTTCACATTTGAGTAAGCAAACATAAACCTAGATTATCTAAAATAACAAAGTGAAAAGAATGCATCCGTGGTCAGAGATAAATACACAAGAACACTTGCCTATAAAGATTTACTGAAATTGAGCACAGAATCTGTGAAGAGACCAGTCTGTGAAGTATAAGAATCAGATCCATGCCCCAATCTCCGCGTGCCCAGTTTTCTGGGACAGACCTGCCTGTAGGCCTGTCTTAGTGTCGTGTTCAGTTAGCGACATGTAATTCCTTTCTCTCTCAAACACGTAATGATTTGCCCTGTATATTATATGATTCCCCCATCTAATCCCATTCCAATATTCTGATTGCCCTCCAATCCCTGCTGCTGTTTAGGTTTTCATTGCATTTGGTATGTTCAGAATTTAACATGTTCTGAGCTAGAATTTCTAGGTTAGTGCAATTATTCTTCATAATGGAATTCCTGTGACAGAGACCATATGGCCCCCAGCCAGAATATTTACTATCTCTCCCTTACAGGAGAAGTTTGCTATATCAATGGAGGATATACAACATATTCGTGGATTAATTTAAAGAAAAGTGAAATATATACTCACAATAAACTAGTCAGGAAAAAAAATATTGACTACCTGATTTTGAGGAGTTTAACGAAGCAAACAGTGATACTTGGGTAAATAAATACTTAAATGAGTATTCCTTAGAGGAAACAGCAGATAGAAAATGAAGGACCAAGTCAAACTGATATAATAGTGTTTGCAAGTGAATGATAGAAACATTTTTGAAGGTGTTGAATTCATGAGCGTTGTGAGCAGAAGGATAGACTAACGTGAAGGTTAAGGTCTGTATATGCATTCTACATATGTTTTCGCTATAAATATTTTTCTTTCTAGGTCAAAGGGGTATGCTCTGAAATACCAAGTCAGTTTTATTAAAAGCAAATCTTAAGAAAAAGCTGCATATCCAAGAATGCTTCTGTTAACATAAGGTGACATTAACTGTATTTTATGAAGCAGAAAATTGCTTCACACCCAAATTCTTAAAATCTTTTTTTTCTTTTGCTGTCTTTAATAAGACATAGAACATTGGTACACATGAGCTGCATAAAACTCTAATAGAATTAGCATTTAGTAATTTGATATTTTATATGCCTGATAAATCTGATGTAGAAAAAGCAAGGAAATAAGGAAAAACACTATTTTATGACCAGAACCATTCCTTAAAATGGAATGAATTTGCTAATGCTTTGTTGGCAGTCTTCTGAAGGACCTGAGCCTGGTGCAGTTTTAGAAACTGACCCTTCCAGGAGAGCTCACAAATTTATAAGAAAGAGGGCATAATGATTTTTTTTTTAGAGATGGGGTCTTGTTCTGTCACCCAGGCTGGACTACAGTGGCATGGTGATAGCTCACTGCAATCTCGAAGTCCTGGACTCAACCAATCCTTCTGCCTCAGCCTCCTAAGTAGCTGGGACTACAGGCATGTGCCACCACATATGGCTAATTTTTAAATTTTTTTGTGGAGATGGAGTCTCTTTATTTTGCACAGGTTGGTCTTGAACTCCTGGGCTCAAGGGATCCTGCTGCCTTGACCTCCCAAAGTGCTGGAATCACAGGCGTGAGCCACCATGCCTGGCCTCATTATGAAAGCTTTAAAAAAAACCAAAGCATTCTGTATACTACAAGGCACTACTAAAATTATACATCTTATTTTTTAAATATTAGTATTAACTTAGACTTCAAGAGGCAAACTGAACTCAGTTATACATATATGTGTGTGTGTGTGTGTGTGTGTGTGTGTGTGTGTGTGTGTGTGTGCGTGTATACGTGTATACGTGTGTTGGGGGTGGGTGAGGATGGGTGTTGGGGGGTGAGAACATATATGTATGCATATATTCAAAATTCTCAAACACGAAGTTTTTAAAACAACAAAGGAATTATCTTGGTAACATTGTAGCAAACTCTGTAAGTCTTGGAAAAGTTTTTTTACCAAAATCAATTTACTTCTACTTGGAATAATTACTCAAGAGTTTAGACTATAAAGCTGTATTT